AGGAATCACACGATCACACTTGAATTCCATCACGAATAACATTTTTTCTGGAAAATTCTCTTTTAAAAAATTCGATTGTAAACAATGTAATGAGCTGTCACTGGAATAATTTTAACAGCTGTCGGACGAGTGGCTTAAAAATAACAGCAGTCTGACGTTGGTTACAGTTTTTTTATCTCACCCGATTCAGGCATTGAATCTAGAGACATGATATGCCATTATTAAAAAGAATACCCGGAATTAATAATAATTATTAAAAAAATCCCTTTACCCAGTTGTTGTTGGCAAGAAAAAAATTTCATTCAATTTGTATAATTATTCAATTACGCCATTCAATAAGAAAAACAAAAAATGTTTAACACATTGTTTACTATTGGAACCCATGACGCCACTAACATGACACAGATGAACACACACAGAGACATACGCATAAAAAAATTGTGATGCGTATTAAACATACACTGTCAATCAAGTATCCCAAAGGATCAATGCAGTACACACACACATGCATACATACATATAAATATACGTAGATACATGTAAACAAAACCACACGTAATGACTATATTTATTTAAGCCATCAACTGTTAACGAAGTCAACAACAACAAAAACAATAACATTAACATTAACAGCAACACCAATAAAGACGTCCAAAAGTACATATATAAACAAACAAACAAACAGAGAGAGAGAGACAAACAAACAATAGACACCTGTTGTTTTACCTCTCCCAGAATGGTTGTTTTTATTGTTGTTGTTTTAATGCGTACATATGTGTGTATATGAGTGTGTGTGCATTTAAAAGCTAACAAAGGATTCATAGCCACATATTCATTATTTGGTTCCAACCCACGTTATGCACATAAATGTGGGTGTGTGTGTGTGTTAATTTGGTATTTGGAGGAGTAACACTAAAGTTATCCATCACCCGTGCGACTGAAGAGGTGGTAATAAAATGAAAAAATTATACAGCAGCATTCTTTTGGGGGTAAATACAGCGACGACTATAAAACTTTTAATATTTACCCAAAGGACACACTCATTGGAAGGTGAGAACAGTGGTTTGGACTGATAAAAGACTTCCCGGAGGTAATTTATAGATAAAAGACTTTCTATGGGTCTTCTTTAGATGGAAGACTTTCTGCAGTAGGAAGGCCATATATAGGCTTTTCCATGCAGGAAAGCCTTCTAAAAGTCTTTTATGTATAGAAATCTTTCTAGTTTCTTTTCATAGCTAGAAGACTTCCTGGAGGTCTTCAATGGATATGTGACTTTCTACGTGTTTAATAGACAGAAGAACTTTCGAAAGGAGTTCCAAAGAGCAGTTCTAAATATTAGAGAGAGAGAAAAATACTGAATACTACATGTAGAATATCTCCGAGAGGTTTTCTATAGGCCTGATAGAGATTTTTCATACATAGAGGATCTCCCAGATACAAGGATACAAGATTGAAGACTTCAGTAAATAGAAGGCCTATCGTGAATTTATATATATAAAAAACCTCCCAGATGACTTTTTAGATAGAAGGCCTCTCGAGAATTTCTATGTAAAGGGCTTCTATAGATCCCGAAGGTTTACGAAAATAAATAAATTTAATTTATTTCTGATTTGTCTCCTCAAATAGAATACATTAAATATTTCTTAATTCATGTTTCATCAATAACTTAATTTTCTTAATTAATTTATTTCATATGATAATTTCATACTAAATTTAATATTTACAAGTGAAAAAGCATCAATCGGTTTTGCCGACAGATGTATACCCTCAGCAATGTTCGATGATTCATATATATTTTGACTTATGTTATGATTATTCAATTTGCTGACCATGTATGGCGTAGATCCCAACGGAATGGGCCAATATTGACCCATTCGTATCGGACCTAAATAAAAATGATATAAATATTGCGAAGTGCCAGGTTTCGACTATATTGGATACTTCCTTTACTTTATATGAGATATGTGATCATTTTTAGAAAATGTTAAAATATGCGTAGAGTACCAGATAGATTCGACCGAAGTATTCCATTTTCAATCTTCATCTAATACAGATAAAAATATTGATATGAGCAAAATTACAAAAAAAATCGGACATTTATATCCAATTCTATGCGAAAGAATCCCTAACTTGTTTTGCAAGTTATGACCGATGAAAGAATTGAAAATTGTGACCCTTTGTGGGTGAGGTAACAGAAGGGGTTCGCAGATATATATCAACTTTACCAAAAATGATGGAAATATTGAGATGTACCAAGCCTGGATTTTGACCCTTTTTTGGGGATGGTACCAGAAGGAGAGGACCGATATATCCCATCTTCACCACAGATTTTGTGTTAGTAGAAATAATGGGATGTGCGAAATATAAAGAGAACCTGATGCTTATTTCGGATTTTATAGGAGTTATAATTATTCAAAACTTTGACCCTTGATGGAATGGACCGATATTGTCCAATTTCGCACCCGACGTTCAGTAACATATTTTTTGAAAATGTCAACCTTTTGTGAGTGTGGTACCAGAAAGATTGAGCCGATATTATCCTCATGTCCAAATCGATCTAGGTTTGATAATAATATTACGATGTACCAACTTTGAACCAAATTGAGAGTTATCGTGCGCACCAGACAGATAGACAGACGGACTGACGGCCATATCTAGATCGACTCCAAATGTCCTGAAACGAATTTGGTCCAAAGAGACCTAGGGTCTAAAACTATTATTTAAATGAGAAATGCTATTCGAACTTTTAGAGCAAATTTTTTAAGAAAGCATTCAAAATTTTATCAGCTCGAATGGGATCTGGGTGCCCTGATACGCCCGCTGTATAAATCGGCAGTTGTCTTTCTAAAATTCATGGTTCTAAAAGTGACGCAACTACAAAATGTTTGCTGGGTAACATAACGTCTAGACTTTTTTCCAGATGTAATTCGAAACATTTTAATTGAAATTTTAGAATTCTATTTGTAATTCGAATTATTTCAATTGTAATTCCAATTGTTTCATTTGTAATTCAAATTATTCCAATTGTAATTCGAATTAATCGAAGAAAAAATTGACAAAATTTGAATTACAAATGTAACTATTCGAATAACAATTGAAATAATTCGAATTACAAATTGAATAATTCGAATTACAAATGGAATCATTCGAATTACGATTGGAATGATTAAATTACGAATTACAAATGAAATGGCGAGAAGACCAAGCTGATGATATCAACGCGCAAGACGTCCAGTAGACTCGGACCAACTGTGGAACTTGAAAACTACAGCTTTGAGGTAGTTAGTGACTTTATCTACCTCGGTACCGCTATAAACAAAACAAATGACATCAGTTTTGAGATTCGGTGAAGGATAGTGTTGGCCAATAGATGCTACTATGGTCTATGTTCAGAAACCAGGCCACATCTCGCCAGACCAAACTCACACTCTACAAGACACTGATACTACCCGTGCTGTTGTATGGATCTGAAGCATGGGTACTTGCGCAAGCAGATGAGGCAGCGCTTGGAGTGTTTGAGAGAAAAATTCTGCGAAAGATCTACGGGCCGATCTGCATCGACGGTGAATATCGACGTCGAATGAACCAAGAGCTATACCATCTATACTCGGACATCGACATAGTCAGACGTATCGAGCTGCAGCGACTACGGTGGCTAGGTCATGTAGTGCGAATGGATGAGGATGCCCCAGCTCATAAGGTATATAAGAGCGAGCCTACTGATGGTTCACGCAGAGGGGGAAGGCCAAGAATTAGATGGAAAGACCAAGTAGAAGACAACATATCGGAACATGGTCTTTCAAATTGGAAAAACTGCGCACAAGACCGACGCGCCTGGAAATCTTTTCTAAACTCGGCTTATGGAACAAATGTTCTGTCTCGAGCCAGCTAAGTAAGTAAGTAAATGAAATGTTAGGAATTAAATCAAAAATTATACGAATTACAACAGAAAAGGGTGTAGATGTCTTTTATGAACAAAGCACCGCCAAGACGTAATTTATGAAGAGAAACCTCAATGTATGTTTCCTGTAATCAGTGGATCCCTCATATAGCTTATGTAATCCCCTTATATGTCTTTTTCGCATAGAAAAACCTCCCAAGTTATTCTATGGACAGAAGAGTTATTCTACCAATAGAAACTTAAAGATTTTCTAAAACAATAGAATTACAAGCCTTTACATAAGTCTTATTTAGTAGGGTAGAGAACCCTAAACTATTTAAAGGACGTTAACGCCATTATTATTATTTTTTTTTTTTTGTTTCGATTTATTCAGGTGTGGTTTATAAACATTGGCCACTTAAGGATAAATCTATTTTTAATGTCCGATATACCACTGTCTCCCTTCCGTAATCAACATATCCAAAAGGTAAATTTCCAAAGTTTACTCCCATTAACTTTATGTCAATGCCATTGACAAAACTAACATTTTGTTCGCATGTCTTAATTATGGGCTACACTCGAAGAGGGTGATGTGTTACTCATCGACGCTCACATATGCATGAGTGTCATGAATGAATGAATGAATCAATGAAAAAATCTAAAAACAAAGGTGTCAATCATCAAAAGCCAACATCGTTCCACCACTCGCCAGCAACATGAAATCCATGAATGAAAAGCGTTTTTGAGGCGACAGGTCGTAATTTTTCAATAAACACTAGGTAAACTGTTTTCACTTCATTTTACGTTTTCTCTCAGACTTTTTTTTGGCGACAATGTCCAACACCTACGATTCGCAAATGTTAATATTTGTTTATTTTGGTTTCACTCGGATCAAATAATCAATTTTTATTATTTCGAAACCATAGATGGATGGATGGATATTAGGCATAGAAAAACAACTTCAATCGCTGGCGATAGTCACAGTTTTGATTTAACCATCGAAAGGATAACAACTAAAATAAATTTTGAAAGAAAAAAAAAATCGATTGACTCAAATTTCCAAGTGATTGAATTTGTAAAGTGATTTTTTTTGTTGGTGTGGGTTTGTTGTTGCAGCAGAATGCAAATTTGGCAAAGGGAATATTTTGTTGTTGGCATGTGGTGGGCTGGTGTTGTGCTGATTCTGCAGAGCATTGTTATTGCCAGTGCAGCTCGCACGGATACGGAAAGTTTGGAGTTGCTTTTTCGACATAGGTAATTATATATGTAATAGTATATAGTGAAGATGGGAGGATTTTTCAAGTTTTTTTTATGAGTTCACATTTTTCTAGTTGTTGTATTTATTATTTTCCCCCCGAAACTTCATTTATTTTGTTTAGTGAAAATCAGCAACAGATAGAAGACTCCTTATCTTCAACCTAAGAATAGTGTCCAATATATTTGTAGATCAGCATCTAAGTGTTCGGCCATTTAGTTGGAAAATATGACTATGATCTTCAAAATACTCAAGACTTAGACCCATATCGCACATTTATTGGCAAGGGTCTGTTCAATCATGAATTCAAAAATATTAAATTATAAAATCCTTCAAAAAGTAGAATAGGCCAGGACCACTGTATGGCACATCCCTTACTGACTATGATTATTTTAAGATATATAAGGGCGCCGACATACCTAATTTTCAACACATTTTTAGAAATTATTCTTCTTTTTTAAAGTATTGTCCTTTTTTGAGGGTAAACGTAAGGAGTAGACCCATATATCCCACTTTTACACCGAGCAAGTTAGAAAATATCAGTCGGTTTTGTTACAAAATGCATAACCTCCGCCAATGTCCGTATATCAAAATAAATGTTGACTTGCGTTATGATTATTTAAACGTTCCCTGGTGGTACCGAAGGAATGGGTCTGACCTAAATATTACAACGTTCCAGATTTTGACTATATCGACTACTTCTATAGGAGATATGTTCAAACTTTTGGAAAACGTTGAAATGTACATGAGGTTCCAGATATAGTGGACCGATGTTTTCCACTTCATCTAATTCTAACAAAAAATTATTGGATTCAAATTTTAATGAAAATCTAAAATTTATTTTAGGCGAGTAATTGTTAGTCAAAATTTTAAAATTTTGTGAATAAGGAACCAGAAGGAATTCACCCCACATCTCTGGTTGAGATAAATATTAAAATACTTCAAGAATATCTGAATTACAGAGGGAGTGGACCGATATATCCCATCTTTACACCTGATTATATGTTGATAGAAATATTAGGATTTGTGAAATTTGAAGAGATTCGGAAGCTTATTTCACATTTTATAAGAGTTATAGTTATTCAACATTTTGATCCTTTGTGGGGGAGGTACCAGAAGGGGTTGACCGATGTATTCCGTCTTCCCACCTAATATTGTGTTGATAGAAATATTGGAATGTGCCAAGTTTGAAATACTCGGATGCTTATTTCGCGTTTTATGAGCTTCATAGTTATTCAAAACTATGACCCCTTTGTGAGGGAGGTACCAGAAGGAGTGAACCGATATATTCCATCTTCACACCTGTTTATGTGTTGACGAAAATATTGAGATATGTGAGATTTGAAGAGAATCAGTTACTTATTTCACATTCTATAAGAGTTATAGCTATTCAAAATTTTGTCCCTTTCTGGGGGAAGTACCATTAGGAGTTATCTGATATACTCCATCTTCACAGCAGATCTCGTGTTAGTAGAAATATTGAGATGTGCCGAATTTGAAAGTGATTGGATACTCATTTAGCGTTTTATGAGCGATTTGGTTATTCTGAATGTTGACCCTTTATGCGAGAGGTACCAGAAGGAGTGGTCCGATATTTTCCGTCTTCCCATCAGGTCTTGTGCTAGTAGAAATATTGGGAAGGGAGAAATTTGAAGATAATCTGAGGCTTATTTGGCATTTATAAGCATAATAATTATTTAAAATTTTGACCCTTTCTGTGAGAGGAACCAGAAGGAGTGATCCGATATACCCATCTTCACACCAGGTCTTGTGTTAGTAAAAATATTGGGTTATGCCAAGTTTGAAAATAATCGGATGCTCATTTCGCGTTTTATGAGCTTCATGGTTATTCAAAATTTTGACCCCTTTGTGGGGTCCGATATATTCTACTCCCAAAAGGAGTGGTCCGATATATTCCATATCCATACCTCATTATGTATTTATTGAAATATTCGGATGTGGGAAATTTGAAAAGAATCGCAAATTATATGAATTAATTAATATTTTGATCCGTCGTGGGGGAGGTACCAGAAGAAGTGGTCCGATATACTTCATTTTCACAGCAGATTTTGTGTACGTAGTTATTATAGTTATAGTTATTCAAAATTTGTACCCCTTTATGGGGGAGGTACCAGAAGGAGTTGACCAATATATCCTATCTTCACACCTGATTATGAGTTTATTAAAATATTGTGAAGTGTGAAATTTGGAGAGAATCGGATGCATATTTCGCAAATTATAAGAGTTACAGCTATTCAAAATGTTGACCCATTGTGGGGGTGATACTAGAAGGAGTTGACCGACATATTCCATCTTCACACCAGGTCTTTTGTTAGTAAAAATATTGGGGTGTGCAAATTTGAAAATAATTGGATGGTCATATTTCAATGTACGAGGTTTCGATCAATTCGGATACTCCCTTCGAGAATTATCATGCGCAGACAAACACTCGGACCAACAATCCTAGATCGACTCCAAATGTTCTGAAACGGATTTTGTCCAAAAAGACCTAGGATCTTAAGCACGTTTCGTAACAAAAGATATTTACCCTCTATAACCATGTGGCTAAGGATATAAAAACAGAGTATATTGTAAAAGCTGAGTTAACAATATTAGACACGTGCATCAGCGTTTTAAAAGTTTATTCCGGGCGGACAGTTCGGCCCAATTTTACATTTTTCAAAATATTCTAGTTAAGATTTCATGGAATCCATCCATTTTATATATAACATGTCTTTGGTTAATACCCTCAGTCGACTAACTAAAGGGTTTTCTGGGTTCTTTTCTACACAAAGGTTCAAAAACTTCTTTAATATGTGATCGTATCAGATCAAAAAAATTATATTATTTTTTTTTCTTGGATGCACCAAAACTCCAGAACTTGGGTACGCTGGAAATTGTTAAAAATAAAAACACATTTTAGGGTTAACGTCGCACTACATCTGAGTTTATGCCAAAACATTTCATAAAACATAACATTGGGGAAATATCCTAAAAGACAAAAATATAATCTAAAGTTTCACTTTATATCGGTAAATATAAAAAATCTATTTTAATATTATACAACCAAATAAATCCTAAAACTGGGAAATTAGTTTTTTTAACGTTTCTATAAAAACCTAAGCGTTTTAACTTTTTTTAAGTCAAACATCACTAATTTCGGTGTTATTTTTAGGGCAAGTATTTCAGTTTTTCAGAGAAACAATATTCCTCTATATATTCGTATAGCCTCTTCATGCGAAAAATTTCTTTTTTCTTTCAGATCTCCCGAAGATTGGGAAAATGTTTGGCACAGCGAGAGTCATTCGCGCTGTCGTGACAAATTGCTGCGACACATGTTTTGGGCTTGTGAAAAGGATATATATCGTCTGACTCGGCGCAATCAATTTCTGCCCGATGAGTCCATTGTGAAAAGAGGCAAGGGTAAGAAAATTATTTCTTCGATTTTAAGTTTTCATAAAATTGTTTGTTTTTTTCCTGCAGTTCACCATTCTCCATCAACCAAATGGTTTACACCCGAAATTGCTCATAGCCTGTTGAAGACACGCCGTTCCCGAGATCCCTCGATTACAAGTGAGTGTTGCACAAAGACCGGTTGTACCTGGGAGGAATATGCCGAATATTGTCCATCGAACAAACGGCGCAATCATTATTGAGTGAATCGGAAGTATTGTTGAGTAGAGTATAAGAATGTAAATAATTATTTATGCGCGCGGCCAAACTATGTTTAAGACTGCTTTTGAGATGTGAAATTCAATTAAAGAAGTGTTGAGAAAAAGAAAAGTAAATAAAAACATAGATAACTTAAAAGAAACGAAATTATGATGTTAACATTTTAAATCTTATAGAAGAATTTATAGGAAGGACATTTATTTATAGAAAATTATTTTTGAAATTCCCCCATTTTTTATTTTCTTGGAGTTGTCGGCGTGATACCAGTGACGTGATACCGGACAAATAAACCCAAAAAAGACAGGAAATAAAAAAACTAGGGTTATGTGGCTTTATCTTTTTTCAATGTTTTATTTGTAAAGTGTGTGAGTTTCAAATAAACGAGACTTTACCTTTAAGTGAAGTTGCAGATAAGCATAATAGCGGAATAAGGTCGTGACCAGCACCGACGATTGGCGCATTGGAAAATGCCCCTCTGCATCCGAACTGGGCGAATATGACTTTTAGGAGAAAGAGCAGAAGAGAGTGTAAGCTCTCCCTTGCAATCCGAACTAGGCGAATGCGACTCCTAAAAGAGAGGCAGAGAAGGTTTCCCCATTGATCTCGACTAAGTGGCCAATTATTGTAATTAATTGGACTGCTAGGGAAGGGGGCAATGTATCGAACATATAATTTGGCGTAACCACAACATCGAACATATACAGGAGTTTTAATCCGAGAATAGCTTAATGAGGTCTTATATCAACTGCTGATCTTGTGATGTATTGATGTATTGGAAATTATGACCCTTTGTGGGTGAGGTACCAGGAAGGGCTTGACAGATATATATTATTTTCACAACAGATCTAGCAAAAATATTTGGATGTGTGAAATTTGAAGAGAGTTGGATGCTTATTTCGTTTTCATTGAGCGTTTTGCTTTTCAAAATCTTAAAACCTATGTGGGGGGAGGTACCAGAAGAAATGGTCCGTTTTCTACCATCTTTATAATAGATATTGTGTTGACGAAAAATTTGAAATGCACCAAGTCTGAATGGAATCGGATGTTATTTTGTGTTTTTTTTTTTTTTTTTTGAGCTTATTGGATATTAAAAATTTCGACCATTTGTGGGGGAGGTACCCGAAGGAGTGGACCGATATACCCTATCCTCACAGCAGATCTTTTGTTAGTAGAAGTGTTGAGATGTGTTAAATTTGAAGAGAATCATGGCTATTCCTAATTCTGACCTTTTGTGGGGGGAGGTACCAGAAGGAGTGGATCGATATATCCCATCTTCACAGCAGATCTTGTGTTAGTAGAAAAAATGGGATATGTGAAACATGAATAGAGCCGGATACTTATTTCGGATTTTATAATCGTTTTAGTTATTCAAAATTTTCACTGCTTGTGGGGGAGGTACCAGAAGGAGTGAACCGACATATTCCATCTTCACACCATACCTTGGGTTAATAAAAATATTGAGATGTGAGTAATTTGAAAACAATCGGACTCTCACATCATATTTTATAAGAGTTAGAATTATTCAAAATTTCGACCCTTTGTGGTGGAGATACTTGATGGACCGATATTATCCATTTTTGTACCTGACCTAGAGCTAGTGCAAATATTAGGATTCGCAAAGTTAGAGCAAAATCGCATTATCGTTTCTCTTTCTGTGTAGAAAATATATTTTTTGAAAATTTCGGCCCTCCTTATGGAGGTACCAAAAGGAGTGAACCGATATTACCCATCTCCGAACTCGATTTAAGATTGACAATAATATTGCGATGTACCACACCAGGCAGACAAACAAACGGACGGACATCACTAGATCAACTCCAAATGTCCTGAAACGGATTTGGTCCAAAAAGAGCTATGACCTAAAACCGTTATTTCGATGAGGCACGTTTTGACCTATCAAATAATACATACTCTCTATACCCATATGTCTGAGAGTATAAAGAAGGTATATTATTTAAAAAATCGATGATGCTGTTGTCCTCGATAGCCTCAAGAATTCCATCACTGTGGTCTTCAATTTGTTAGTGTAAACTTTATCTTTCACGAGGCCCCAAAAGAAGTTGTCGCATAGTGTTAAGCCATTCCTGAAATATCGAGTGGTTCAAAGTACCACCTCTTGTTGGGGAATCTTTTATAAGTTTTTTTTTTTTTCAAAGAAGACCAACAGAGGAATATTCTCTCTTAAGCTTAAAACTCTTTATACGCCTTCCATGATCTTCTTAAGCAGTACAAGTCTTATTTCAGTTTTAAAAGACCTCTTTAAGATTATTCTCCTTCGACATACGCACTGATAAGAAAGAGCAGAAGAAGCCGGTATCAGTTCATGTGGCCGTTTAAGAGTTGAATTTGATCATTTTATTTGAAAACGTCTTCCGGAGCAGAACAGCGGTCATCGAAAAGTCGAAAAAAGTGAAATTATAAAAAAATATATTGAAGTGATATGTGGAAAATAAAAATATGGATAATACAATTATTTATAATTTTCAAAATCTCCCAAGAATTTCCAATCAAATCGAATAGTTTGAGTTTAGAAGTTCCACCCGCTGAAGTGGTAATGTGGTGTTAAAAACTTCGCGAAAAATTCCTTTTATTTCAAAGAATTTCAATTATTTTCTTTGTGCATTAGCTAAATTTCATGCGACGCTTTGGTTATTTGGATCGCAATCCCAACAATTCGGAAGCCTTGTATCATGAAAGTGCAATTGTGGAGGCCCTGAAGAATATCCAAAAATATGGAGCCCTGGAACAGACCGGCAAACTGGATGGTGATACAATGGAGGTATGTAATCAAAACACGCGAAGGCGAGCAGCTGACCAAAAGCAACTGATAACAACAAGCCTCTCATCTACTCACACGTCTGTGTGTGTGTGTGTGTGTGTGTGCGTTTTAGTGTATTGTAAGACAATTGATAAACATCATTGAAATTGTGCCAAAGAAGAGATCGAAAGTGTGCGTGTGTGTCTGTGGTTTGAATTCAATTTTTTTGTTTTCAATTCTATTTTTGTTCATTGAACTTGAAATTCTTTTTTTTTTTTTTTTTTTGTTTGGAATTGTTTATGTTTTTTGTTTATAATCATTGTTGTTGTTTACTTTTCTTTTTTGTTGTAATTCTTTTTCATTTAGCTTCTGACTAAGCCGCGCTGTGGTGTTCCCGATATTGAGGGCAAACCCTATTATCTTCAAAAACAGGATATGATAAATGTCAGCGACATAAAACAGCGCAAAAAGCGTTTTATTTTTGGAGCGAAAACATGGACCAAGCGCCACATCAAATATTTGTAAGTAAACTATGGGAATTATATACGGAGGGTGAAACCTACAGTTATATTGGAAAATTGAAGAACATGGGAAATTATTATTTTTAGATAAAGGTGACCTTCGGGATTGTATTAAAATTGAATCCTATTTTAGAAAGAAATCTATTTAAATTAATAAAATAGTAAAGTAATTAACTGACGGACGGAAGTATGGATTCATCAGACGGCTAAAGCTAGAATCTTGAATTTTTGGGGCGAAGGTCACTCTTGGTCCAATAGGGTCAGATAAGGCTTGGTTTTTGGAAATTAGTACTATAAAAGAGTACAGTCATTGACTGACGGACTGACTGGCAGACTTACTTAAGGATTCATCAAACGGCTAAAGCTAGAATCTTGAAATGTTGGGTGAGGGTCACTCTTGGTCTGATGGGGTCAGATAAGGCTGTGTTCATGGAAATTCTTACTAGATACGAAAAGTATTAAAAGGTACGATACGAAAAGTATTGAAAGGTTTTAGTACCTTTCAATAATTTTCCCCTTGTATTTGAGGTACCAGTAGAGCTAGAACTCTTAAGTATTTAATGAGGGTCACCGATGGAGTGTATGGTAGATGTACCAAAGGGTTTTTGAAAATTCGCGAAAAGTACTAAATGTGCTGCATTCGTATCATGTGAACGGCCAGAACTAAAAACTTGAAATTTGAAATAGGAATCAAGGTTGAGGAGCAGAGTCAATCTAAGGAGATAGTTTTGGAAGTGTGTATTCATGTATACGAAAAGTACTAAACGGTACTAAATTTAGTACAATTTGAATTTGAAGGAACGGATGGAGCTGAAATGCTGAAATTTGAAATTAACATTACTGGCGGAGTGTAGTATTGGGATATGGAGGAAGTGGTCAAATATTTTACTTATTTGTACGACATGTACTAAATGGTACTAAATTTGCTACAATTTCGATTAGGGTGAACCGATAGAGCTGGAATTCTCAAATTTAAAATTAAGATTGATATTGCATTGTAGGACTGAGGTATGTATAGAGTTTTGGAAATTCATACTTATGTGTACTAAATGGTACTAAATTTGGTATAATTTAAGTTTTAGTGGAACCGGTAGAGTTGGAATCCTGAATTTGAAAATAAGATTTCTATTGGACTGTATGATGTACTAAATGTACCAAATTGTACTTCATTTGAAACAAATTGGATTTTGGTGAACCAATAATCCTGATATCTTAAACATTAGAATTAAGATTGTTGTTGGAGTGTGGGATTAGTATATACACCTATATATCCCAATCCCACACTCCATTGCATTCTGGGACTGAGGTATGTAGATAGTTTTGGAAATTTTTACTTATGTGTATTAATGTTACTAAATTTGGTACAATTTGTATTTGAACTAACCGATAACCGGAATCCTAAAATTTGGAATCGGCACTACTGTGGGAGTGTAGGATTGGGGTATGTAGAAAGCTTTGAATATTTGTACTCATGTGTACTAAATATTACTAAATTTGGTAAAAACTGGGATTGTGATGAACCGATGGAGCTGGAATACTTAAAATTGGAATGAGAGTCACTGATTCTCTGTTGGTGGTTCGTTTGTGAACAAGATATGATTTTGGAAAGGGTGCTACAAGTGTGCGAAAAGTACAAAATAGTACTATATATGGTACAATTTGGTATTGGGTAAAGAGATAGTGCTTGCAATCTGAAATCTGTTATTGGGACCGCTGTTCATGTGTAGCCTGGGCTTATCTGGAATCGAGATATGGTGGTGGTTTTAGAAATTTGTGCTATAATTATATGAAAAATACTAAATATTACTAAATCTGGTATTGGATGAAGGAATAGAGCTGATATATAGAAATTTGAGATTGAAGGTCTGGTGGTATCTGAAATTGAGATATGGAGGTGATTAGGGAAATCTGTACTACAATTGTTTGAAAAGTACTAAGTGGTACTAAATTGAGTACTTAATGGAGTGATAGAGCTATAATCCTGGAATTTGATGTGGATGTCACTGTTGGTGTCTGTGTTTGAGTGAAGGGGTGATGGACGAAATTACAGAGTTGAAATTTGAAAATAATTTCACCGTTGCTATCTAAGATTAAGATATGGAAATTGTTTTAAAAATACGTTCTTTATCTGCACGAAAAGAGCTTAAATTTAATATTAAGTCTGTTTGTATCTCCTCGAAAGATTTATAATAGACCCTACAAAGTATATATATTCTGGATCAGCGTAAAATTCTAAGACGATCTAGCGATGTCCGACTTTCTGTCCGTATGTCTGTTGTAATCACGTTATCTTTAGAACGAATTGAGATAGAGGTAAGAAGGTTAAGTTCATAAATGGGTCGTGTCGGTTCATGTTTTCGTATAACCCCCATATAACAGTACACCCCGATATTCGGTATTTTCATGATTATAGCGTCATTATTTACCGGAATTATTTCAAATTTCGTATTTGAAGTACGTAATGGGTGCTACAGCCTATGTCAAAATGTTTTGTATGCAGGTTCACGTCTTCGTATTGTCTCCACATAACTGTTTTCATTTAAGTGGTAGTTTCCGGAAGTTTTATGAAAATTTGCAAGTTCCTTCTGAAATGTAATATTGAAAAGTTTTGTACAGAAAAAATGGATGTGGGTCCATTGTGCAATGATTGTATTATTTTTCTCCTCGGTAAATTTCAAAATAAAAGGTTTTGAAGTCCATTTTGTGTAAAAAGCAAACATTTTCCTATTTTTCTTGTCGAAAAAGGAAAGCCTTGAATAGTCTATAAAAATGAAAATTTAGTACGATGTATAAAGTTTTTATTAAAAAACTGATCAAATTGTATATTTTGAGTACTAAAAGGGACTAACATGAACTGTTGAAACGAATTTATAATTTTAAGGTGGACTTTTCGCTTATGAAGTAGCGGGTACATGCTTATTTTTATATATTGTGAAGTGTAGGTCTTCAGGTTAGATTTGGTAAAACTAGGGTGGTATATAAGTATTTTCCTCCGATAAACGATTTTCCGGTCTGATTGTATTGGACATAATGTTAATAATTTAACTATAAGAAATAATCATTTTTTTAAGTCTCTATGGCAGAATTATATTATATGATTAAGACTCATATCTAATTTCCTCTCATTTCTAATTTCCTATTTTCTCCAATGTTCTAGAATCGGAAATAGATCACTGAAAATCCCAGCCAAACAAGTTGAACGTGACATCGCTCGAGCATTTGAGGTTTGGTCTCAGTATAGCAATCTGAAATTCGAACGGGTCAATGATACCTCAGCTGACATAATAATCGGGTTTGGTTCACTATATCATGGCGACAAGTAAGTATCCGAAAAATATGTCACACAATCTAATAATAATTGATTACCTTCAGTTTCCCCTTCGATGGTGTGGGCAACATTTTGGCCCATGCATTCTATCCCTATGAAATGGGTTCCTGGGGCGGTGATGTTCACTTCGATGAAGATGAAAATTGGAAAGAAAACTCCCCTGAACTAAGTCAAGGTGTGGATTTTTATACGGTGGCTTTGCATGAATTGGGTCATAGTTTGGGTTTGGCTCATTCGCCAACCTATAGTTCGATAATGTTTCCCTACTACAAGGGACCGGATTATAATGTGCTGGATTATGATGATACATTGGCAATGTATGAGGCGTATGGTAGGATGAATAAATAAAAAAATTGAAAAAAATTTATAAACAATATTATTTTTGTAAAGTGAACAAAAAACTGGACGATGATGTGGAAGTGGTAAATGATGAAGAACAAAGAGAAGTGGAGGGAAGGGAAGAAGAATTTGTTGAACATACAACCGTTTCTTATGAGACAACAGATTACAGTACCGTATATAACGACTACATAACCAACACTACTGGCAAGCAGAGCTACGAAGAGGAGGTAAGGTATTCAGAAGTATTTCAGGTACTATGAATAACAACTAAGTTTTCTTTCAGACCAACACCAATTGGCCCAGCACATCAGGTGATGTGAAAAATCCATTTTCATCGAGCTTCGGCAGCACCACTTCCTATCCAACCCCAGGCTTGAATTCAAGAGATCGCTCATTCTATACATCCACCATACCACCCATATGCGATGGTAACTTCAATGCAGTTTGCCATTTCGAGGATCATGTACACATTTTCAAGGGCCAATATGTTTGGAAACTCTCAGCCCAGTACAGGGTTTTAGATGGTTATCCGAAACGTCTGCAGGAGGTCATTAAAGATTTACCGGAGCAAGTGAAAAAAATAGATGCCTGCTATGAGCGTTATGACAAAACGGTTCTATTCTTTACAGGTATTTTGGAGAATGAAATCTTTATCGAAAAATGAAATTAATTTAAAAAATTGCTATTTCTTAGGAACACAAATCTGGTATTATAAGGATGAACGGGTGTTGGACACCAGCCCTGTGTCGATAAACAGTCTTTTGGGCTATTCCACGAATGTGGTTCACGTGGATGCAGTTTTGTTATGGCGTAAGTTATATAAAATAATTTAGAAAGTATAAGTCTGTTTTCAGACAGAAATCTACCCTGAGTCTACGAAGATTTATCTAAGATTGCGAATAAAATGTATGTTTTTGAAGATGTTTTGGGACTTGGGACAGCAGGAATTTTAAAAAATCCACCTATATCTTCAATAACACCAGACTCACAACTTTTGCCAGCAAGTCCCTAATAAAGAAGTCAACGGCTGCAGAAGACCTCAATAAGTACTCAAGCAATGTTCTACAAGGATATGCAAGTCAACGGCTGCAAGAGACCTTAATAAGTACTCAAGCCAAGATCTACTAAGATATGCAAGGCTACGGCTGCAAGAGACCTAAATAAGTACTCAAACAAATATATGCAACTACGGTTACAAGAGACCTCAATAAGTACCCAAGCATAGATCTACGAGGATATGAAAGGCTAAGGCTGCAAACGCCTTTGTAAGTACTCTAGCAAGGATTTTCTAGGATATGCAAGTCAACGGCTGCAAGAGACCGCAGTAAGTACTCTAGCAAGGATCTTCTAGGATATGCAAGTACTCAAACAAAGATCTGCAACTACAGCTGCAAGAGACCGTAATAAGTACTCATACAAAGATCTACCAGAATATGCAAGGATACAGATATAAGATACCTTAATGAGTAATCAGGCAAGGATCTATCAGGATATGTAAGGCTACGGCTGCTAGAGACCATAATAAGTACTCAAGCAAGAATCTACAAGGACATGCAAGTTTACGTCGGTAAGAGACCTTAAAAAGTACTCAAACAAGGATTTACCAGGATATGCAAGGCAACGGCTGCGAGAAATCTTAATAGGTTCTCAAGCAAGGATCGTCTAGGATAACGAGTCTACGACTGCAAGAGACCTTAATAAGTACTCAAACAAGTATCTATAAGGATATGGAAGTCTACGACTGCAAGGGACAATAATAAGTACTGTAGCAAGGTTATTCTAGGATATGCAAGGCTACGACTGCGAGAGACCTTAATAAGTACTCAATTCTGTACAAGGTCTACGGCTGCAAGAGACCGTGTAAAGTACTTAAGCAAGGATCTACTAGGATATGCAAGTCTACAGCTGCAAGAAACCTTAATAAGTACTCAAACAAAGATCTACTATGATATGCAAGGCTACGGCTGCAAGAGCCCGTAATAAGTATTCAAGCTAGGGTATGCCAGTCTACGGTTGCAAGAGACCTTAATGAGCACTCAAGCAAGGATATTCAAGGTAAAGCAAGAGAACTTAGTAAATGCTCAAACAAGGATCTCCCAGGATATGCAATACCACGGCTGCCAGAGACCTTAATAAGTACTCTAGCAAGGATCTTCCAGAGTATGTAAGTCTACGGCTGCAATAGACAGAAGTACAGAATCAAGAAACTACCAGAATACGCAACTATGGCAGCCAAATCTCAATCTACGGCTGAATGAAACCTTAATAAATACTCAAGCAAGGATACTCTACGATATGCATATCCACGGCCGCAGCAGTTCCTTATAAGTTCTCAAGCACGAATATGTAAGGCTACGTCTAGGATTCTGAATATAGAGACCTGAATAATTATTCTAAGCCAAGACGTCTACAATTATTTTTTTTAAATATAATCACGACAATACTTAGTGTGATCATCCCCCGATGGTAGAGATGAGTCGCGTTATTTGTTATATGCAACGGTTCCCATACAGTCAACCTTGTTATATGCAACGGAAAATACAGTCACCCGCTTCAACATTTTGCAGATATATTATTTGTAATATTTGAATATTTTTGATGTATACCTATAAAGCCCTACTATTTTCTGCTTTTTTTAGCTAAAAATAATCGAACTTATATTTTCTCTGGATCGATATTTTGGCGCTACGACGACTATACGCAGCAATTAGATGAGGGTTATCCAAAATCGATGCAACGATGGCCAGGGATACCAGAAAATATTGATGCTGCTACGACAATACCCAATGGTAAAACACTAAATCACAGTTGAACCTCGTTTATCCAAGCCTATAATGAGGCTTTATTGCTGACACTTCTTTCTAAAGCATGGATAATCGGGTTCCTTCTACTCCATCAAACAACACTTCTAACTACTTCTTTTTTGTTTTAGGTAAAACTTACTTTTTCAAGGACAATCTCTATTGGCTGTATGACAATCAAAGAGTACGACCGCAACGTGGCTACCCTCGACGAGCATCAGCCGCATGGTTGGGTTGCACGGCAAGAACAACACGAATGCCATTTCGCAGTAACAATACAACAGTGACATTTATTTCAGTTTCTCCTTCGACTTCTTTGTCGGATTCTTCACAGTGGTCTTGAGCGGCGGATCTTCGCCACCATTCGACTTGGAAGCGAAGGATTTCGATACAGTTTTTGATCTTAATTTAGTTTTCTGTTTCTGTTTTTGTTCTTGTTGTTGTTGTTGCTTATTAGCCTTAATAGTTGTCGTATCTAGCTTAAGTTCTAATGCATAAATATAATAACGTATAAAACAATACGAAACACCAATGCCACAGTATGCTGAATACAATAGCAGCGGGACAAATGGCAGCTTTTCATTAAGTCCGGTTATGGGTCCAATGACATGTTCATAGATTGGTATCAAGACCAAACCATAGATGTAAAGATCCTCCAGTGCATTCATGGCGGGATGGGTTTGATAAAATCGCACATAGGCCAAATACATGAAGCCCATGTAAGCCAAATACAACGAATAACGTATGACAAACAAATCCACTTGGAACAACAGTGGGAATAAAGAAAAATAACCCACTGCACTTAACATAAAGGCATATTTTGCATCCGCGGCACTGACACAGAACAAGAAACTGCAAAGAAAGCGGGATGACATAAAAACACCATTAATGATTGAAAGTTAATTAAAAATGTCATTTTACTTACCAAAGTGGTATCAGACACATCAGTATGGCTTTCTCATGAACATGCCAGCCGAACATAAAGGAACAGGCCGAACAAATTACCACGGCGCGTATGAATGCAATTTTACTATGTCTGAAATGAAAGAGGAGAGAACGAGAGTGAGTGAGTGAGTGAGACACATAACAACAATGAAAGAAATTTAATTAAAGAAAGGTATTAGTGGGAAAACTGCTAATAATGACATGTTTTTCTTGGTAAGGCAGTAGTGAAAAGTTGCAAGGACGTTCGATGTGGTATGTTAGAACAATGGCGATGTTTGTGTATATACAACACTTTGGAATATTTTATGGAGTTAATGTATGGAAGTTTGTGATGATGAAAAGTTGTATTCCCATTTGTGGTTGTTAATTTTCCGTTGTTGTCTCCTTGAAGAGGAAAACTTATGGCAAAATTTGAGGAGGTTTTGTACACATGTGTATAACAATGGGTATGATAACAGCAATGGAGTCGTTAATTTAGCAAGAAAGCGATCTTATCTGAACTTTGAATGCAAGAAATATTTCGACAGATACCAAGTGTACCATTCGCCTGAGAAAAATATATAAACCAATCGCTGTATGGTATGGGTAACGTATATTTTTTAAGAATTCTTTGGAAATTGAACTTATATTTGAAAATGTAGAGCACAGGAGGCGAATTCAGGCGTAAGTTTTCTTTTCGTCAAATGTTATTATGGGTAGAATCCATAGATCAAGAAGAAAGTACAAAACAGTATTTCACAAATTTTACATTCAGATTTCAAAAAGTTTGCAAAAAAAGACAATGGCAGGAATGTCTCCTTGTAAATACATATTGATGTAGATAGTTCGATTTGAGAACGTGAATAGGACTGCTAAATATATAAAACTAGTAAAATCAATAAGGAAAGGCAAAGGTGGGGCGGTGTTGACTTCAGACGAGCCACCTGTAACAAATACACGTTTATATTGGTAATTTAAGTTTTTATTGCTTATTGTGGTTTTAGAGTGGTTTAAATTTAGAACAAGTAAAATAGAATCAGTCAGTGTTGCCGAAAGATGTATACCTCCAGCCTTGACTTATGATTATTCAAACTGTTGACTCTTTATGGGGGAGGTTCCGAAGCATTTGGCCAATATTGACCAATTCGTATCTGGCCTAAGACTGATAAAAATATTACAACGTGTCAGATTTGGACTATATCGGCTATTTCCTATACTTTATATGAGATATGTGAAAATTTTTGGAAAATATGGAAATATCCGTGAGGAAGCAGATATAACGGACAAAAGTATTCCATTTTCATTTTTATCAAATACAGATAAAAATATTGGCATGGACAAAATTTGAAAGAAATCGAAGATTTATATCCAATTTTAAACGAAATCATACATTTCGGTAAATGGCATATCCATTTGAGATTTCTGGTGAAGAGAAATATTTAGATATAGGAAGTTGAAAAGAATCGCCGACTTGTTTAACAAGTTATGACAGACTGTGACTCTATGTGGGTGAGGTACCATAAGGGGTTGACAGATATATATCACCTTTATAGCAGATCTTGCGTTAGCAAACATATTTGGATGTGTGACATTTGAAGAGAGTTGGATGCTTACTTCGCTTTCTTTGAGCGTTTTATTTTTAAAAAATCTTGAACTCTATGTCGGTGATGTACAAGAAGAAATGATCCGATCTGTATAACAGATCTTGTGTTGATAGAAATTTTGAGATGTGTCAAGTCTGAATGGATTCTGATGTTCATTTCGCGTTTTATGAGCTTCATGGATACTCACAATTTTGACTCTTTGCGAGGAAAGGTACCAGAAGGAGTGAACCGATATATCCCATTTTCACAACAGATACTAAAAATATCGTGATGTGTGTAATTTGAAGAGAACCGGATTTCTATTTCGGATTTTATGATCGTTCGGTTATTCAAAACTTTGACCCTTTGTGGGGGAGGTACCAGAAGGAATGGTCCGATCTCTACCATATTTTAAACAGATCTTGTGTTGATAGAAATATTGAGATGTGTCAAGTCTGAATGGATATTCAAAGTGTTGACCCTTTGTGAGGAAGGTACCAGAAGGAGCGGACCGATATATTCCATCTTCACACCAGACTTTGGGTTAATAAAAATATTTTGATGTGTATAATTTGAAGACAATTGGACCCTTACATCACATTTTATAAAAGTTATAATAATTATTCAAAGTTTTGACCCTTTGTGGGGGAGGTACTTGATGGAGTGGACCGATATTGTCCATTTTGGCACCTAACCTAGCACTGTTGGAACAAAATCGGATTATCCTTTCTCTTTCTGTGCAGTAAATAATTTTCTTTGAAAATGTTGACATTTTGGGGGGAGGTACCAAAAGGAGTGAAGTGATATTCCCATCTCCGAAATCGATCTAAGTTTGACAATAATATTACGATGCACTAAGTTTCGATCAAATCGGATACCCCCTTCGAGAGTTATCATGCGCAGCAGCCAGACAGACAGACGAACGGACATCGATAGATCGACTCCAAATGTCCTAAGACGGATTTGGTCCAAAAGACCTGGGGTCTAAAACCGTTATTTCGATGAGGCACGTTTTGGCCGTATCAAATGATATTTACCCTCTCTAGCCATATGACTGAGGGTATAATAAAATCAATAAAATGCAGGAAATTGAGCGGGTTGAGTGCTACAGGAAACCATCGGCCACTATAGATAATATTCTGGTACAGGGGCTCTTGTAAAACGTCACCGAAGGTAGAACCCATTGCAACTTTGAATACAAAATTTGAAACAATTGCTTGGAAAAAAATGTGGATAAAATCATCAATGCACCGAATATTTGGACGTTTAGTTTAATGGGGGTTCTACACAAACGTGAACCGATGTATCTCATTGTTATTAGCAATCATTTGTGAAAAAATGTAAGCTGTTATGTCAAATATATATACCAACGAGATGTTCCAAATATTCCCTACTTTGTATGGTGGAGGGGATAATTAGTCCCATTAAAAATATAATAAGAGGAAGGAAATCTGTAAAAATATTTGAGAGTAAAAATAATCAAGGAAACGTAAGTTAAATTAGTTAATTCGACCAAGAATGAATTAGAATATTATAACAAACGAAAAAGAGGATTTTTCTTTATGTCCTAACAAGAAGCCAGGAGCTAACAGTTCGGTATACGTCACGACTATGTGTTTTAAGTTAAACATAAATTATAATGCAAGTATTAATTTTAGATTATCTTTAAATTATCATATTTTTAGAGTTACTCTTCCTAAAGCAAACAACAATTCGGGAAAAATTTTAAAGAAAAAAATGCTCACCTTTTACTCTGATAACGGCACAGTCTTATTAAAATAGGTACCATTGTACCCAATGTAAGAACAAAAGTAACCACAGGACGTACAGACGGCAAGACGACATGTTCAAATTCTTGGACCAATCCCGAAGTAGTTGATGCACCCGTTTTGGAATGGGTACGCAAAGCCACCGCAGCAACTTTATCAGCTGTATTATAAAGAGCCCAAAAATTTGGAGCCCAATAGGCATGAGTCAGACCACGTTTAAAAGGAAATAGGCGACTCAAAACTTGAGGCATATCCCGCCAAAATGGACCAAATGATAATACGAATGGAGTCAAACCAGCTGCCAAAAGTTTTGCCAAAGCAAACACTGGGTTTTTACTTGGATCCAAGCAATAGTGTCTCAACAAATAAATGCCAAATGCTGGTGCCATATAAACAAAGATATGTTTAAAGTTCAGTAGGCAGGCAAACACAAATGCACACATAACATAACGTTCCTCCAGCAAATAGCTTATGCTCAGCAGCAGTATGCCAAAGAGAAAACCATTATATTGGAAATGTATGTGATCCACAAAGATGAGGCCAATGTTTAGAAGTAAAAATGTCTCCACAGATGCCTGATGCATTTTGATGCCCATCCGTTTAAGAGCTCTCAAGCAACGCCACACACCGTACATATAGACAAAATCCATAACCATTACTGATATTCTTTGGAAATATTTTGTTTCCGTTGAGGCATAATTAAGATTATTGATTTCCAACATCTTGGGATCCACAAATGCGGCTACCTTGGAGAGCGCCCACTCAAAGTAGGCAAAAAATGGTGGATAATCTAATGTCCATTCGCTGGTTGCCTCATAGTACCATTGTTTGATGGGCAGTGAATTTGTAATGGCCAACCAGTTGCGATGCACCTCAAAATCTGTGGAGTGGCTAGACAAGCAAATTTATATTTAGAAACGTTTTTTATGAGCTCCCACTTACTTTACTTACTACGCCGGAACAAGCATTAGTTTCAAACATGATGCCAAGGCAAACAAGGACCACAACAGTGAGCCCTCCAACCCCATGGTGACCAAAATCTCCATAAACTCCTTGGATTTATTTGGCAAAAATTTACCGGCTTATTCCAAAATTAAGCGGTGCGTTGTTATTTAGTGATGACAATTTATTGTTTTTCTTATCAGCTGTGTTATCGATGACGTGCCCCTATGGAAAGTGTTGCCATATCATCATCGATATCAAAATGCAAGACAACAGCTGTTAGTTGTGTTAGGGCAGTTCACAGCGGAAAAGAAATAAGTTAACGTATTATTTTGAAAGTTTTTTTTATAAAAATATTTATTTAAGAAAAATTAAATATAGAATAAAAAATGTATAAACAGTGTTTTCAGTTCATGTATTTAAAGTACAAGAATCGAATACCTGAAATAGAATCGAGTATAAGTGTGTACGATAACCCAATATTTTTTAATATTTTGTACACATTTTTTTTAGAAAATGAATGCAAAGGAATGCAAAAAAATGATATTAAAAAATGTTATAAAATCCCTTGCATGATAATGTAAGTTAAGCGATCGATGCGTCCCGAACTATTAGCTCCTGAGATTTTGTTGAAACTTATTTTCGTCTACTCCATATCTCCTGTATTCTTTTTCCAGGTTTGTTTATGTTTAGCTATAAAATATTTTGTTAAAATGTCGGATATGGTATTTCCAGTAACATTTACTCAGTAAGAATTTATTGAGAAAAAAATACGAATTCTTCTCTCTCGAGAGAAAAATTTGAAAAAGTAAAATAACAGCATATTGCAAAACATTATAAGTTTGATAAAAAAGGAAAATAGGAAAATATTTTTCAGATTATGAACATTCGACACTTTATTAAACCATTAAAGTCCTAAATTTGCATAAAATTGTTACTGACTGTTGTTCGATAACTTTTTGTAAAATATACACGCGAGAGAGAAAATGCTCTCAGTTTAGGTTGCTGAGTAATTTGTACTGAAAAGGTATCGTACAGACATAAATTGCTTAGTAAAGTAAAATAGTAAAATTGCTGTTCCAGAACTTTTCCGTTATGATATAGAAAAAAGTGGAAAAGTAGAGTAGATTCTTACAGGTTCTGGAACAGAGCAATTAACAAATACAATTTGTTACACATTACGGGCATTTACCTTGCCCAATTTCACTACAAAGAAACATGTTTCCATCTCTGATTTATGTTGTTCCTTTGCACAAATCGGCGCCCAACACGACTGCGCTCTCCACCTTGTAATTGAACTGAAACTGATATGAAATATAAAGACAGCTTAGACTTCCCCTATAGTCTGCAAAATGCTGATTATAGATTCCATAGATCTTTCTGTCTCTTTTGGATGAAGATTGCTCTTTTTTTATTAAAATAGGGCTCATGTATTTCACAACAGAAATTTCGTCCATGTTTCACACGATGTGTACTAATTCTACATATTGAAATTTTGACAGATGTAAAAAAACAAATCGTCTGAAGAGCCTTTAATAGAGATGTGCTTAAATTTTTTCAAAAAATTATTCATTTGACAACATCTCATTGTCAAAATTTATATTTACAAATCCATTGTAGGGTAAGTGTACCAGTAGTCGGCACTTTTAGGATTTTCGCGTTTTTAATCGCTCACCATTCTGAGTGGAACTTTTCAATTATTACAAAGTTAATTTATTCAGATTCGAAATTTTGTATAGATTCTGCAATAATAAATAAAGTTTTAATAACTTTTTATTAAATTTCATAAATTTGTAGTTTTATTAAAACAATGTTTTTTGCCAGTAGTCGGCACCACTTGCCAATTGTCGGTATGGTATGTCCCAACAGTCGGCATACCAATTTTTTTGTAAGAATAATCAATAATAATAATAATAAATTAATCCACTAAAATATAATATTTTTGTTTAGTTAAACTGATTTGACGTCTTTATTGTACTTGTCTTAAGAATGTGGATTGTTGAGGACCTTCACAGACAAAAATTTAATTTTTATTAGAATAAATCATCTTTTCTTAGCGAAATTGTACAGAAAGATAGCTGACAATATATTTGAAGTAAACAAAATACATTTAGTTATAATAGTTTCATTTATTTGGGCTTAAAAATAAAAAGTGCCAACTACTGGGACATGCCGAACTTAGGCACACTTACCCTATACATACAAATCAGAGATGGAAACATGTTTCTTTGTAGTGAAATTGGGCAAGGTAAATGCAGAGATGGATATGCTTATTTGAAATGACTTTACCTTCTTAATTTTACAATGGATATAACTATACCAACACTAAAATTCATTTGACCTGAAGAAACTTATAGTTTGTCCTTTCTACTTTGCCCCTTAATTAGGGCTTATGGGCATCACAAAATCTCATTCATTATCCACCCATCATCTCTTCAATTAAAAAAAAATAAATGAAACTGCCCACATATCGACACGTTCCAGCCATCTTATGGAAATCAGCTGATGATTAATTATGCGCTACTGCCCCCTGTGTCCACGGGGCGATAACCATCTGTTAGATAAATGATTGAACAACGTGTGCCATTTTTTATTACTCCACCTTAGATCTTAATTTACCCGTTTGACAACGACTGACCGACAAGTCATAACTCATCAATCTAATGCCTTGCCATTGCAAATAAAATTCTAACATTTATCTGCCACCAAACACACCCCACGACAATTTGCTAACCGAACTGGGCACTGGAAAAAAATAAATTGTTTATTTTGTGAAAAGTTGTTCTCAATGAAATTGAGATTTTGTTTTCAATGACCGTTTTGAGGCGCTAAACATCATCAATAAAAAAAACACGGCTGGAGATTGGCATTAGAAGGCAGTGGGTATGGATGGTGGTGCTGTTGCTGCTGAGGCCAGCGATGGACATAAGAATTGCAGTCAGCCCAGGCAACCAAATATCATTGAATGTGGTTGGAGGGGTTGGTTTGGCTGACTGTCTGACTCTTGATGTAGTCTTAGACATCATTAGCACGTTCCTGAAGGTTACATACCATCAGTGCCATACACCATCCATAGCCAATAATGTCACCAACATCTTTGACATATAAAATTTTAACATTTAAAATGTTAAAGTGTACACGATTTGAGTTTGCAGTGCAGTGCAGCTATGCTTAAATGTTTATTGATGTGGTTCGTATCGCTGCCGTTTGTGGTCTGTTCTGTTGACTTAATGCAATTTTTGTGATTCTTCTGTTGGTGTTGTTGCTGTTTAATATTTATTGAATATAATGTGTTTATGTGTTTGACTTTGTGCGAAATGATGTTCCAATGTGTCTTGGGATGGCAAATAAGCGCAGTACAGTAGAGGGCAATAAAATAGTATGCGACTTTGTGAGTCTTTAGGAGGTGTTGAAAATAAAATTCCCTACCGTACTTAGGAATCTACTCTTAATTATAAACATATTTAAAGATAAAGAAGGACGAGTCTAGCAAATAACAACTAAAATAGTATCAGTCGGTTTTGCCGACAGATGTATACCCCCAGCCTTGAGTTATGATTATTCAAACTAATGACCCTTTATGGGGGAGGCTCCGAAGCAGTTGGCCAATATTGACCAATTCGTATCTGACCTAAGACTGATAAAAATATTACAAGGTGGCAGATCTGGACTATATCGACTACTTCCTATTCTTTATATGAGATATGTGCAAATTTTTGGAAAATATGGAAATATGCGTGAGGTAACAGACCGAAATATTCGTTTTTTATACTTCATCTAGTACAGATAAAAATATTGGTATGGGCAAAATTAGAAGGAAATGAAAAAACTGCAACCAACTTCAGATTGCTGTTATTTGGTATTGAGTTAAAGAATAAGACTGGAATACCGAAAGTTGTTATTTAGGTCTCTATTGGTGTCTGTGGTTAAGATATGGAAGTGGTTTTGGAAATGCGTCCTATATGTGTACGAAAGCCACTAAATGACATTAAATTTGGCATTGGGTAAAGGAATAAAGCTGGGATCCCGAAATTGGTTATTTAGGAATCTACTGGTGTCTGTGGTTAAGATGTGGAGATAGTTTTGGAAGTACGTCCTATATTTCTACAAAAACTACTAAATGAATCTTAACTTGGTGTTGGGTAAAAAATAAGACTGGAATCCCGATATTTGTTATTTAGGCCTAAGCTTTGGAAATATGTCCTATATTTGTACGAAAATTACAAAATGACACTAAATTCGGTATTGGTTAAAGGAACAAGGCTGGAATCCCGAAATTGAAATCCAAGCATTGAAATGTGAATAAATCTTTTGTGTCTCGTTTTATCGCTCGTTACCGTTATACTGGTAGCGTAGCCGGACTTCAAGTAAGTGGAGGGAAGAAAACGGCAACAACCGCAGAAATGATTCGAAAAGTAAAGAAGCGACTCGATCGAAACCCGCATCGCAGTGGCCCAAAAATGGCTCGTGAGCTGAACATATCGCAATATTCCATTCGGCAAATATTGAAAAATGAGCTCGGGGTAAAGTCATTGAAATTCCAAAAAGTGCAAGAACTTACACCGCAACAGAAAGAAAATAGACTCAAAAGAGCTAAAGAGTTGCTTTCCTTGGCCGAAAGTGGTGAACTGCCGAATTTGGTTTTATTGGTGAGAAAACATTCGTTGTCCAGCAGTTCGTGTTTACGTGCCAAAAAGGTCAGCTGAAAATGTGCACCTTCGATTCGGCCACCAGAACTCAAGCGGCGTCCATGGTGATCGCTCGTATTAATCGACCGTGGCATCAGAATAAATGCCGAATATTATTGCGAATATATTCTTGAGGGTGTATTTAAGCCTTGGGCACGCAAATATTTTGGCAGCAGCCTTGGACATTCCAACAGGACTCATCACGCACCACCCAAGAATATTTACAAAATGAGGTTCCTCGCTTCATTTCCAGCGCACAATGGCCACTAAAATCTCCGGATACCAATCCGTTGGACTATTGTGTCCGGAGTATTTTGGAAAGCAAGGTTGGCATTAAAAAATACCAAAGTATCGAACACCTCAAGCAAGTGCTTCGCCGGGAATGGGCGAAAATGCCGCAGAGCAACATTCGGGCAGCGAAGGTTTTATTGGCCATTTGAAGGCCATAATTCGTGCCAAAGGTGACCAATTCCAACAAATCTAAACTTTTTCTAAAATTTAATGCTATTTCCGA